TGTGCTTCCAGGTACTGGAGGGCTACAAGCAAGGCTTCAGGCCAGCCATTGGCTATGAACTCAATCCATGGCTGTTGCGACTGTCCAGGTATCATGCCTGGAGGGCTGGGTGCTATGGAAAGGTTTCTTACCATCAAGAAGATCTTTGGAAGGTGAGACAGAAACTCCTGTATAATGAAGTTTTGTGTATGCCAACAGGACACAAAAACACCCTGGCACTGGAACAACAAAGATTTGTGTGGCATCTTTAAGATTGTTGCTGTAGCTTTGATGGACTGTAACCCACTTCCTCAGGTGCACAAAATATAATCTTCAGGGATATTATACAGTGCATGGTTGTAGATTTAGATCAGAAAATTAGCACTTAATATTATTACAGTACATTTTGGATTTCTTCATATTGACATTGCTAATTATTTGTTTCATCATAGTATTGTTGATGTGTGCCTTTAAATCGTTTCCAACTTATGGCAACCCTAAGGTGAACCTACCGTAGGGTTTTCTTGGCAAGTTTAATTCATATTTAGATTTCATTCCAGGACAGTTTTGTCAAAAAAATTCTAAAGAGAATTGGTGATGCTTTTTCCTAGAAGATTTCTTAGATGCTAGAAGATTGCAATAATTGCCCAATGTTTGCATAGAACCACCTGTTCCTAAGGCTTAGGAAAATTCATTTTTTGGATTACAAGTCCCAGAATCCACCAGTTGTAAATACAGGAATTTTCAAAGTTCCATTTACTCTCAACTGGCTGCATTAGTTCCAGAAAATCCAGAGCAAAACATGGCAACAATGGGTGGCTGTGAGTGTCCCTGAACTTTCAGATCAGACCAAGGCTGTGCCCCTTGTTCTGACCTGACTTATGTTTGCAGTGGTGACAACAGCCAGCTCACAGGGGAAGGAGCCACCCATCATTTGCCAAAAACCCACAGCAGGTAAAAGTGGGTGGGAATTCAGGGCCAGAATACTCCAGAGGCAGCCCAGAGTATTCTGACAAAGGTAGATGAACTCTTGGATATGAGGCAGAAGAAGGCCTTGAATAGAAGCTGGTAGGGATTGAGCTTGACAAGACTAACTAGTTATCCTATTTGTCTCTTCCCCATCCCCTTTTTAAAGGTGAATCTCGCAGACTGTAAGAATGTAACTGTTTTTCTGGCTCCTAGTGTGGTAAGTACAATCTCTGTGCATAGACAGATGTTGGAGGAAATACCTTATCTTCTGCCTAAATAAATCCACAGCTTGGAAAAGTTACTTTTTCAGACAATTCCCAGAATCCCCCAGCCGGCATAGAAATCCTTCCAAACTCTGGATGAGGAGAGGGATATTGATTGCAGTAAGACACATTGTGGAATATCAAAGAGGTTTAAACCAGGCTTACTATTGTTGCTTCCAGTAGTGTCCTGGCAAACAGACAACATTGTCTTTACAACACTTATTCCAGTTTTGTTTCAGGCTGCAAATAATTTTATAGATAAATGAGCAGATGGCCTATTTGGTTTTGTGTCTCCTTTCAAACACTTCCTGGAAGTGAACCATATTGCATTCTTGTTACCATTCAATGATGATGTAGGGTTTGAATTGACTCAGTGGCAGTCTGGTCTTAAATTTCTGCTGGAAGAGCCAGCATGTGAGGAGGGGGGGAGATGCTCCTAGAATGGAATGGAATTTTCTTTGCACTATTGGGCAGAGTAAGCGATATAAAGCAGTGTGACATTGCTGATTTAACTGGAAATAGATCTTCTCTTCAGCCATACCGAGCATTTACAATCTGAGCCAAAATAATTTTGAATGTTGTCTGGTCTTGTAAATAGGCACAGACTGTTCTGAACTGCTCCTGTCTACTTCCTTTTCACCAAGAGTGACACAATGTGGGGGCAATTGTGAAAGGGCCAATTTTTGGCCTTTTGTTAGGCCTGAAGCAGAAAGTTTTGTTCCTGTCAGCTTTCTTCATTGTCCAGCTTTCACAATCATACATTGAAATCAGAAATACAATGGCATGGACAACTCTCCCTGGTATTCATTGATACGGGAAATGCACATCCTTAATTGCACAGCTTCTATCCTTTCCTTTCTAGCTACTGCTTCTGGAGAGAAAGTTACTCATGGAACTTCCAGAAGATGCTCGGGTAGTTGCTGGCCGCTTCCCTCTCCCCACCTGGATTCCTACCACCACGGCCGGGGAAGGTGTGAACCAAGCCTGGGCTTATGATATCAAGACTATACGGGAAACTGAGCAGGATAAATCAGAGGGAAGCTCAGTATAAGAACTAGCCAGCATGAAAACTTAAGTTTGCAAAGAAGCCTACTGCTATTTATGAATGTTTGGAACATAGGCTGTGTCTTTTTCCATTGCTGAACCCTTTAGAGTCCAAAGTGGGAGGAGGCAGGGAGGAGATATGAGATGGGTTTTTTTGAGAAGAAATCATACAGGTCAGGTTTTTATCCTAGTCAGAATCTTGTCAATTACAGAAAGTGACCATTCCTGTTACCAGATGCTCTCTGGTTCTCCCGAGTGGCCATTTCAGGTGTTGCAGCTTGGAAATTTTGAGAAAAATGCAAAAGATATTACAAAGAAAATCTCTGTACAGCACATGGCAGCCACCCATGTTTTCATTACCCTTCCCATTGTTCAGAGCAAGCCAAGTATATGCACCCAGTGATGAGTAACAGACAGTCAAGCTGTTCCTGTTCCACTGGCAAGTAGTGAATTACAACCACGGCCATTACAAGTAACTCCATTCTAGCTCACTGCTGCAACAAGTAACTAGGCAGAAAGAAGTTAACTTCCTAGCTCTAAAAGAATTCCTTATAACCATTGAAAAGACGGACAGAAAACCATTCATCTTGATTTAGGGTACAAGTCTAAATCAAGGAAAGGAAGGAAACTTTCCAGCCATAAGATGAGCACAGTATGGATGCTTAAATGAGAAGCTGCTTCCATTTGGATGCAAGATATTACATGGTGTCATGTATCTAGAGTCTGAAACTTGAGTTAATTTATCTGATCCAAACATATCTCAGTAGTTTGTTATGAGACTAAAGTGGGGAGGGGAAACTAACTTTTGCATTGCTCTGAGGAACTCCTTGGAGAAATAAACAGGGAAATAAAGAACAAGAAGAGTGGTTGAAAGACCTCTTTGAACTACTTGTCGCCAGGAATCCTAGAGATACGCCATGTATTGTGGTCCAGTTGCTGTTTGGGCCAAGATACCAGTCCTTTTGAAGATGCTACAAGGACACTCTGCTCATAGTTCATGGTGTAGAGACTATGTTTCATTGCTGACATTCCTCTTGGGTTTTGAAGTCACTGGGACATTGGAAGCTCCAGCACTAAACACCCGGAGGCCATCTGTTCCTAGGAGTTTCCTCAGCCTCAAGATCTCCTCCTTGTATCTGCATTACAAGTACAACAGAAGTAGCATCAGCCCAACACTGCAGAACTCACAACTGCTGCCCAAGGCTCCCAGGATCTGTGGGGCTAGAGACGTGGCAAGTACTTCAAACATCTAGTTCAGAGGTGGGAATGATATGGCCCTACAGATGTTCTTTGGAAGACAGCAGAGTGTAGTGGTTTCAGTCTAGGACACTGGGGGGCTTGGCTGAAATCTCCACTCAGCTATGGAAACCTGCTGGGTGGCCTTAGACAGGTCACACACTCTCAGCCTCAGAGGATGGCCATGGCAAAGCTCCTCTAAGTAAACGTTGTGAGAAAACCCATAAGTCAGAGTTGAAGGCAAAGAAGAACAAGAACCAGATGTTACTGATCTACAACGCACATCGTTCTTCACCATTGGCTGGGAATGCTGGAATATGAAGTCCTGCAGCATCTGCAGGCCCCTACAGTTCCCACCTCGATTTAGTGGATGCTGAAGGTGGAGTTTGGAATTACCACCAAAGGCTATTGTTGTGTAGAGAAAGTTTTTATTACAGTGAAATGCATACTTGACCAGAAGAAAAATCAAGTCTGCGAACCCTGGGTCCTCATGGATTCCCTCAACAAAGGACTGAGGAGTACAATAGTTCTTGAACCATACAGTTGTTCTGACCTCTCTTGGCAGGATTATTGTAAATATCATAAGTATAAAATGGATGTGAGGCTATTTAAATACTTGAAAGCATATAAATGTCTAATAATAACATACACTAGGCAACCAGCAGCTAATCCAAACTTCAGTCTCACCTCCCCAGATGCTTATCCACGTAGTCCTGCAATTCGGCTACTTGCTCTTCTGCCACCATGGCCCGTGCCAACAGCTGGCTCCTCTCCTTTTCTAAATCTTCCTGTTGTGAAAAAGAGATTGTTTGACAAACTGGTTGATACTGAAAGCCTTTTTGATGCTTGTGGGCCTTCAGAGTGGCTCATAAATGTTAAAGAGGTCAATATATCATAACACACCCTGTGAACAAGCACAGCAGCAAAACCACTCCATCTTATCCAGCAGCTGCCTTCCAGATGTGTTGGACTACAACTCCCATTACCTCCAGTTAGTATGGTCAATGGTCATGGTGGCTGGGGATTACGGAAGGTGTAGTCCAACACATCAGGAGGATGCTGGCTTGGAGGGGGGGCATTGAGATAAAGAAATGTCGTAAAGACTGCAAATGGTGAAGGCCAAATGCCTGTCAAAACAAAATAAGCTTTAATGTCCCATCAAATGGCCTGCTGTATGGGGACCATTCAAGTAGTGAGTGGGAGGGAGTTCCACAGCCTCAGTGCCACTGTTGAAAAGATTGTCCCATGTCTCTGCCACAGAAGAAACAGGAGATCACAAAATGCTCTTATGATGTTTGTTTTATTAGTATAAAAGCCTAATGTGTTTCACGCTCATGTACTATTGTATATTGCCTATGACCTGTTGTTGTGTGCCTTCAAGTCATTTCCGACTTACGGCGACCCTAAGGCTATCATAGGGGTTTCTTGGCAAGTTTCTTCAGAGGGAGATTGCCATTATCTAAGGCTGAGAGAGCATGACTTGACCAAGGTCACCTAGTGGGTTTCCATGGCCAAGCCGGGATTTGAACCCTGGCCTCCAGAGTTGTAGTCCCACATTCAAACCACTACTACACCATGCTGGCTCTGTCTATGACCTGTACTTCTGTTTTGAGTCAAACTTAAAAAATTTCTCAACGAAGAACTTCCAAACCATTACTGGCCAAGTAAAAAACATCTAAGTAAAAGCTTAAAGTTTCCATCAGTCATGAGGCATCTGCTGAACATCTGAATAAACCGGCACAGATATGTATGGGAAAAGGCAACCCTTAGGCCAGGGATAAACCAAAACATGGTCTGCCTTGGAATGGTTTGCACCCTCATTCTTTCTGAAGTGCCAATGATGTATAAAATCACAAATCAGGACAGCTATGAAAGAATGTAAGCAACACGTTTGGGAGGAAAACACATTTTCTTGCAGCATACAACCATCCTCCTCGCATGATGAAAAACTGCTGGGATTAACCAAGAATGTCTGAGGCTGGAAACTGGCCCCAGGAACTACAGGTTGTTGGGTGACTTGTGCAACAAGGCGCATAACTGCAGCCTCTCAGCAAAGCATCAAGTCATGGAGCTGTCCTGTGTGTTTGAAGCACCAAACTGCAAATAGCAAAGAACCTTTCTTATATAGAGAGTAGCTCCATTCCTCTTGGAGGTTATTGGATCCTAACTGGCCAGGAATGAGTATTAAAGCTATAGAGAACCTAATGAGAATAAGCATGATATTTGCGTGTGATCTGCACGTCATTCTTGAGGATCAGGGTTTGAATTCCTACACAGCCATGAAAACCCTTCTAAGGACTTTATTACAACATCTGCTAAAATCACATTTAAAAGAAGAAGAAGAAATAGCTGCAGCATGAAGTTGACTTCAATGGATCGTTTCTGTACCTTTCATGCCTGTTGGGCCATGTATCCCTTGTTCATTACAAATGTTCTGACTCTCTTAAACTGTAAGATAACAACAGTGCTTTGGAAAGAAATCCAGAAGAGCACTTGTTTCTTTGCCGTTGTTCTTAAGACAGAACCCACATAGAGATTTGAATATCTCCCCCAACCCAAGATATATATTAAGGCTACAATTTAATAGAACCAGAGTATTTATGGTGGAGAGGAGCTATTTTCCCCTCAAGCAAAGGTGAGAGGTGCAAAGCGGCTTTCACAGACCCTGGACCCTTCATAGATACCCTCCCCAGTAAACAGACAAAAAGAAAATTGGATTAATGTGGATTAATATGAAATATGAAGCCTAATGTCTGTGAGGCCATCAGCAATGCCATCTTCCTGGAGGGTTTTACCTGGGTGGTGTGAGTGAAGTCCCGTAGTTGCTTTCTGAGTTCAGCCCAGCCTGCCTCATCCAGGGTGCTAAGAAACAAAAAGAAAGAGATTTGAACCAGGAAGAACCATAAGGTGATCACCAGCCCTGAGCTGACCCCTAGAGGCAGGGACATTTTGGATTGCAACGCCCATCATTCCTCAGTATTGGCTATGTTGGGTATCTTTGATGAAAGCTGGAGACCGAAGCTTTCTGGGGAGCTACAACTGACTTCCCTTGCTTTAACCACCTTCCCTTATTTCACCTGGCAATCCTAGCTGCAAGCTATGGAATCTTGGAACTTGTAGTTTGGTGAGGTACTTAGAATTCTGTAGAGCAGTGGCTCTCAGGTTCTCAAAACAGTGGGATGGGACCCGCAGTGGATTATAGCAAAGCATATAGATCATGAAAGACATGGGAGTACCAACACATCTGATAGTCCTGATGAGGAATCCGTACTCAGGACAAGAGGCTACTGTCAGGACAGAAGATGGAGAAACAGAATGGTTCCCAATTGGCAAAGTGGTCAGACATTCTTTCACCCTATCTGTTCAACTTGTATGCAGAAAATATTCTATGAAGAGCAGGTTTTGACGAAGAAGAAGGAGGAGTGGAAATAGGAGGAAGGAATATCAGCCATCTAAGATATGCAGATGACACCGTAATACTAGCAGAAAACCTCACAGACCTGGAACACCTACTAAGGAAGATCCAAAAAGAAAGTGCAAAGGCAGGCTTGATGCTGAACATAAAGAAAACACAAATAATGACCACAGAGGAAATAGAAATAGTATAAGAATTCCCATACCTTGGATCAAACATAGATAAGACCAGGGACTGCAGTTAGAAGAAGACTAGGAATAGGGAGGACAGCCATGAAAGGACTAGACAAGATCCTAAAGAGTAAAGATATACAACTGAGCACAAAAGTTACCATCATACAAGCCATTGTATTCCCTATTGCCATGTATGAGCATGAGAACTGAATGGGGAAGAAAGTAGATAAGAAGAAAATCAATTAATTTGAGATGTAGTGCTGGAGAAGAGTGCTGAGGATCCCATGAATGGCCAAAAAGACAAAGATGGGTCCTAGAGCAGAGCAAACCTGAAATCTCCCTGGAAGTCAAGATGATTAAGTTGAGGCTGTCGTATTTTGGTCACATCATGAAAAGGCATGACATTAGAAGAGACAATAATAGTAGAAAGCTGGAGGGATGTAGAAAGAGAGGAAGGCCGCATAATAGATGGATGGACTCTATTAAGGAGATTATGGGTATGAATTTACAGGACCTAAGCAGAGCGGTGGAGGACAGGGAGTCTTGGAGATGTCTCATGCACAGGGTTGCCATGAGTCGGGATCAACTTGAAGGTGGTTAACAACAACAACAACAGCAAAGACTACAATTCTCACATTCCTCAACTAGTATGGTCTGAGATAATGCAGGTCATAGTCCCAACACATCTCAAGGGTACCAGATAGAGGGATACTGGTAGGTAGAAGTGAGCTGGATGGAGTATTTTACATATTCTTATGCAAATCTCCTCTGAACAAATCGTGCCAAGAAAACCCATGATAGGACCTTAGAGTTGCGATAAATCAGGAATGACTTGGAGGTAACCACCACCACAACAAATGCTCTGAAACCTCAGCAGAATGCCTTCCTGCAAAGACAATCAAATGAGCAACTATAAAACAATATTAGCCATCCCCATTATTGCACAAACGGAGCGTTCTCTGAAATAGCAAGCTTCGCTGGTGAGAAATGTTGGTGAGATGATAAAGCCCTGGAGTGTCAATACTTGCATCTTTAAAAGAAAATGCTTGTATTGTATTTATGGGTAAATCCACTTATTTCACTGCAATGGCTTAAGCTGTGGGGATAGGTGATCTGATTGTGAGGAAATATGCAGGCAAGCCGTGGGAAAGTTTCCTAGTCTGTCCTGGGACTGCATAAGCAAAATATAGGTCACTTTTGATGTTTGGGGGAGTTCTTCTGACTGTATAGAAAGGATGGTATGAACTGAGGAATGCATTGTGCTCTCTTTTGCATTCATAGGAGGAAGCTTTGAGGACTGCAGGCTTGCCCTCTAGTGGGAATCGGAGCTTTAGAAAGAAATCAAAATTAGGAGAAAAGAAAAATTCTCCCTGAGGTGTGTACAGCTTGAGTCTCTCTTATGCAGAATTCCAAAATCCACATGAGTGGCTAAGATAGTGACACATTTGCTTTCTGGTGTACATGGACTTTGTTTCATGTACTAAACTATTAAAAAATATTGCGTATAAAATTATAGGCTATGTGTACAAGGTGCATATGAAATATAAATGAATTCCACATTTACACTTGGGTTCCATCTCCAAGATATCTCATGATGTACAGTCTGCCCCCATTATCCATGGATTTTTTTTTTATCCACATTCAGCCATCGATGGCTTGAAATTTTTAAATAAATAAATAAATTGCAATAAGCAACTGGTTTGTACTCAGTTAATTCAGTGAGGGGGAGATAGAAAAGAGGGCAGAATCTTGCCCTTCCCAATGGGCTCAGGCAAAAGCAAAGAGTTGCAACCACTGCTAATTAATGTGGCATTTTTAATTTTGATTGTGTTTAATTTCTTTTTAAGGGGATGGGAGGGTGGGATTATGGGATGAGGGATTGTTTTTTAACTTTGTTTGTTTTAAATTTGTTGTTCCCCGCCCCGATTGCCACGCAGAGGGGCGGGTTATAAATAAATATTATTATTATTATTATTATTATTATTATTCCTTGTATGCTTTTTTTCATTAATAACTTTTACCATCTTACGCATGCTCTAGTGTTGCTTGGCCACATGTGTCCTGGTTTTCATCTGTGAAATACTGGAAGGTATGGAAAGATCTAGCATGTGAGACACAGAAAATGTTTTGGATAGCTGTTCCTGACTGCACATAACATGAAGTGGTACTCACTGTGAAGGTGATGTCCTGGGACCAGCATGTTCACTTAGCTTTATCTGCAAAACAAGTTGAAAAATACGAATGATAATTTTGATCAAAATGTCTACTTGAATGCTCTTGTCATTGCAACAGCAGACCAACAGCAGTGTTGGGAGATACAGACATAAAAGCAGCTTCATTTATAAAGACTGGTGTGATCAAACAAAACCTTTGAAAAGTCACTTTTGGGGAATGAAATGGGAGAAATGATGCTTGGGATACAGCCTCATCTTTTTTATATGCATATAAAAATGTCTTTATATCCTAAATTTGAAGAAGTTTGCAAATTTTGGTAAGTTCTTTAAGAGCAAATAAATGAAATTCTGTCCATTTCCACTGGCCAGAGTCAATAGTTACAACTATTCCCAGTGTAGAGACAAATATTTTGTACCTGGCCGCTTTATAGGTACATAAAAGATGAGGATTCTCTCAAGAAAAAAAGGAATGGAAGAATGAATGTTACACTAACAGGGTGGAATACACAGGAATTCAAAGCCAGCATTTTAAGAAATAAGTAAGCGAAGACCTGGGCCTAGGTAGGCAAAATCTGTCAGTTGATGTTTCTCTTGGAACTGAATTTTTAACTTGTAAGTTCTTTCTTTCCCAAATATGAAATGGGAAGGTCTCTGTCTGTGTCTGCTCAGAAATAATCCTGTTTGAAACTGTATTAACAGCCCCGGCTCAGTGCTAGGGAATCCTGTGAATTGTAGTTTATTGTGGCACCAGAACTCTCTGACAGAGAAGGCTAAATGTCTCACAAAACTACAGATCCCAGAATTCCCTAGCATTGAGCCAG